TGGTGCAGTGAGAAATATAGTAAAAGACTTACAAAATAATATGTTAATTTCAACCCTGTAATTTTTATGATGGTTTATAGTAAATTACTTTCTGAATTATGTGCAGACAACATGGAATTTCATACCATCTCACGTTTTGGTGTTATTTTATTTTCAAAATATCGTCTTGTTTAAAATTATGAAATAAATGTGTCAATAATACTAAAAATCTTTCTCTTTGCCTAAGTCCTACAATTTATCGAGAGTATTTATGCCGATTACTAAGTAACAAACAGTGTTTTTATAGTCATTTAGAAATGGACACAATACTTAATAAAAATAACAATATAGTAGTAGTTAATTAACTAGCTTCCAGGCGGCGCTGTTGTCGCGGCAAATTTTACTATTTCCGTATACACACTCTTATCTATGGCCGCGCTGCTGACAACTGGTAGCCTGCCAACATTGCAAACAGTACTGCCAGTGGCAGGACTGTTTGCAATGTTGCCACATTGAATTAGCGTAGGTCTCTAGACTGCCATCAAAAAGTCCCTAGTTGTAAATGAATTTAGTAACAAAAAAGTCCCCAAATGTCGCTAAATTATATATCTGCATTAGGATTGTCAAATGTCAGAGACCCCGCATTACCGATACTCGTGTGAGTTAGAGGAAATGAAACCACATACAATCAGCAAATAATTTTTTTTCATTAAAATAATGTTTTTTTAAATGTGTTTTTTTTTTGAAAAAAGAAATCTATACGCTTCTTTAAGTATTAAAATACGCTTGGTTACTGATTGTGATAACGCAGTTAACGGGAACAACAGGGTTTTTATTACACACCCACACACACACACATATATATACACATATATATAATAACGTTGTACATGTTAAGTCCTTTGTTTGTAATAGGTAATGGAATGTAGTTGTGCTTTTTTAATGTGTTTATTATTGTAAAAATAACATCCAGAGGATCTTTATTTCGGTTACTTTACATCATTGACTTATATATTACTAGCGTAAGGACCGGGCCGACAGAACAACTAAAACGGACCAGTGCGCTGGCCCTAAAATTACAGTTTAGGGCCAACGCGAATCGGCAAAAATTACGATACAAAGATTTTAAAAAATTGGGATATCGTATCAACGGTACAGTCCTCGCGGCGAAGCTGAGCTTTGCATTTGTGTGAGTGCACATAGATAGTGTACAGTGGGATACTGCTTGAGGCGCAGCGCGTCCCGCGCATGGTTTAAACCAGTTTATACTGGTTTTTAAAACGCGGCCTGAGGCGCGGCGCATCCTCCACACGTCGCTTCCCCGCCGCGCACATTCCCCACTTCACCTTTGGTACCGCTAGCAGATAGACGTGTAATTTTTTGTGGTTGTGTTCGAATTTTTTGTGAAATGGCTCCTACTGTAAGTAAATTGACTAAACGACCGTTAAGCAGCCAAACAAAAGAAATTTTATACAAATTGAATACGTATTTCAAAGATTTAAACGACAAGGATATGTCAAGTGTCGTTACGTCGGCCCAATTGGTAGCAACATCGACGGGAATTCCGCTGTCAACTGTAAAAAAGGTTTTATTAGAAGGTAAATGTGCTTTGGAAGATGGAAGCAAATTTAAATTTCCGAAAAAAACAAGATGCAGGAAAAATATCATTGTGATCGATGATTTTGATAAAGCGGTAATTCGGAGAATACTTCATGACTTTCACATCACCGAGAAGCAGGTTCGCGCTATGAAAATATGACACGAAAAGTTAAAGGCAGAAATAAATTATCCAGGCGCAATTACGTCATTAAGAAAAGAAGTATCTCTATTAAGATTCAAGTGGAAAAGGACTGAAGATAATCGCAGAATCCTTATGTTTCTAACATGAAATACGATATCTTCGAATAATATTTCTCATTAAAATTGCCGAATATCGCGCTCAGGGTCGCCCAATCGTTTATACTGACGAAACATATATAGACACGTCTCACACTTCGTCGAAATCTTATTCAGATGGAAGCACCTCTGGTTTAAAGAAACCAATTTCTAAGGGAAATCGGTTAATAATAGTGCATGCCGGCGGAGAGGACGGTTTCATACCCAATGCCCTACTCATGTGAACATGAAAGGCAAACCAAAAAAGTGGTGACTATCATTATAATATGAACACCGAGAATTACACAAAATGGTTGCAAACGCAGCTAATTCCAAATTTAATACCGAATAGTGTTGTGGTGGTTGACAATGCATCATACCACAATTCGTATCAAAATCCCGCGCCCAATTCAAACCATCGTAAACAAGCTATGATTGATTGGCTCGAATATCGAAATATTGATCACTCTGGATCGATGCTTAAACCACAACTTTATCAGTTGATACTACAAAACAAAGCAAGATTTGTTTAATATAAAATTGATAATTTGCTCCAAGAACATGGTCACGGCGTTCTACGTCTACCACCCTACCGCCCTGATTTCAATCCTATTGAAAATATATGGGCAATGGTAAAAGGATACGTAGCTAAAAAAACGTGTCAATGAATATGGACACTATAATGAGATTAACAAAGGAAAAAGTAGACGCGATCACTGTACAAGAGTGGAAAAATATTTGTGACCATGCAGTTAAAGAAGAAAAAGCATTTGATGGTCGAGACGCCGCTATCGACGGTTTATCAGAGCGATTCATTATTAACACAGGCTCTGATGACTCATCAGACGAGAGTGAAGATGAAGATGCAATGAGCGGAGAAGAAGAGTTATAATATTGTTATGTAGTTTATTACTGTTATTACTATAATTTAGGATAATCAAAATATCAACATTAACTTTTAATAAAACATTGATTTTTTTACTAACTGTACTTTTGGGGATCACTCACACAAATGCAAAGCTCAGCTTACGCCGCGAGGACTGTAATAACCTTATATTAATTTTGTTACAATTAAATTATTATATAAACGCATTTTTAAAGTTTTATTTTACTGTTAGTTTAGTTACGTTACCATGATAAGACCAGGGCTGAATTCAGACTCAAAAATATTGTGCACGGAAAATTATACTATTTAAAAAAAATTATATAACGTTTGACGTTTCTTTCCTTCTCGTTATTTTTTCCATGTGCCCGGATTTTGGCGTCACGCGTCTCGTTTATCTATACGTTTCGTTTTTTGACGGTTTTATTTTTATTTCTGTTTAATTTTTATCTAAAGAACTTAGTATAAGTTAAATTTTAAATATTGGTGCCTAATATATTTTATATTCAATAAGGGTAAAACGAAAAGAGTACAAAGGAAACGATATCTGCTTAATTAGATCTGAAAATCTGATTCATAAAATATTTTGAAATTCATTTTTTGAAACCGATGGCTTCTGGAGCATAGAGTTTTTATCGTGGTAGCCCCTCATTGTAGTTGTATCAAGGATGCAACATAGGTGCATCGATTGATCAGAAAGGGAGCTCATTCTATTTTATTAAAACAACGCGGTACTCATGTACAATACCTAAATTCTCGATATCGTAGGGTTAATATTAAAATGTAAAAGGACCCTATAATAATACAAGTCAACCTTTAGGTAAAATTGTGGTATTTTCGCTTGGTATTTTTACGATACTATATATTACAAACTACGAAATAATGGTACAATTAGGATAATTATACTACGAAATCCGACCCTGGATACGTCGTGTTTTGATATGTCGTTTGTATTATGACAGATGCGCTACTTTTTCTTGTATGAAAAAATTATGAGTAAAATATTTAAATGGGCCTATCCTTCTTTTTGAAACCATTGCTTTACATTTTATAACTTCTTAGAGATATATAGAGTAGTATTTCGTACGTTTAAAGTAGTCAGATGGTAACAAAAATTGAAGTAATTGCAAATGTCGCTAAAAGTCACCAGAATATTTTTTGTAGCTAAACATTGAATTAAACTCTATAAATTAACAAAAAATCCGTTACATTAAGCGACAAAGTCGCTAAAATGTCAACACGAACTGTTTGGTCGGCCCGCGCGCTGTTTAATCACACAATATTTATTTGATATTTCTTTGAAATAATGGATTTGAATGGATTTGAAATAAACACAAAGGAAGTCTGCAGTCTGTGAACACGTACAGGATCGCCCCCGTCACTACATCAGATTTGATAGACCGCAGATCCTCGCTAAAGAACACCGATTCCTTCCAAGGATGATTCGCGAGGCTATTGAAATCAAAAAACATCCTAATTTCAATAGAGAAGATGGCTGGGTGCTACCATCTGCTTGGGATCCTATAATAAATAAAATTAAATCCCAACCCAAGCATACAACTGCAAGACTTCAAGATACCATAAGTTCATACTGCATAGATCGGAACAAAAGTTAAATTTTAATCTATGGTAACCGCGGTTAACTATGACATATGGACGTTGAACATCTTAGTCCTGCCCGTGACCATGAGTGCTGTAAAGCGTTCGAAACGTCGGGTATTTAAAAAGTTAAATATACGCGATAAATTCCGTAAAAACTAGTATTATTTCAATGTGTAGTGTTCGCGTAAATATAAGAAATCATTGATATTTCTTTTTAAAATGATATGTATTTTTTTTTAAATAAATTCATAATTCACTCACGTATTTACTTGTGAATACATAGCCTGAATTTAATTGAAATTGATTTCGTTACATTCAAATGAAACTGCTTTTTCACTTAGTGGACATACCTAAAATTGTAGATTTTGTGAAAACTTTGCGATCTTTTTCTATCTAGCGAAAATGCGTCAATCGTGTTTTGCCACCTTAGTTCACAAAAAAAATCTTTAACTTTCATAATGAATTAAAAAAAATGTGAATTCGTAGTTTTTAATGACAAAAATTGTGCACCTATAAAGCGTGAAAAATCTGCTTTTGGTGCTCACTTCACCTTGAAAAATAATGACACGATGTGGAGTGTTGGAATAAGAAGATCAGATTTAACTTTGTATAATAATTTAATAATTCTTAAGTACATACACTAATAATTTAAAAAAAAATTTTATCCAATATAATCTAATATCCACTTAAGAAAATATAAAACGGATGTGTAAACGCCGGGTCTTTTAATACCACACACTGTTGGACCGAAGGAAACGATACCTACGAGGAAACTCTTCGGCCCTTCCGGAGTGTCGTAGATCTGCAATACAATGATACTTTAATATGTGAGCAAAACAAGTACAATGCTAAGTTAATGAGATGTAATATTATGATTAAGTATAAATGTAACGTAGGTACAATTGTCTTCTTTGTCAGTTTCCGACAATGGCGGCTTCTTCCGAATAACCTCAATAAGAAAAAGGTATGCGTTATATACGACTTATTATTCATCTATAAATTTATTGTCTAGATCAATAACGGTACAAATGCTGATTGCACGAGACCCCAATTAGCGATTGTTGACGGGAAAATCCATTCAAAATACTAAACTATAAATATAAAATAATTTCATATATTATTAATGGGTATTCCCTCTGCGCTCGCCAACAATAGTCGTAAAATATATAAAAAAATTAAGATCTATTAATTTCACATAAAAAAGGTAACATTGCCTTATCTATTAAGTATAGTTTTGTTATAAAACGTTGTTTAAGGTACAATGTTTAAAACCACTTTGCGTCAAACTTTAATCGATATGAAATAAAGTTTAAGGGCCTTTTTTGTGTAAAATTGCAAACCAGAAGAGTTTTCTATTTAGATTGTTTTTAATATCTATTATACGATAGTTATAAACATCATATATTTTATCAGTATTTAGTTTTTTTTAACTCTGTATATTATCCATATCCTATTTTTCAGATAAAATACTGCTTAGAGCACTCCTGGCATTGTTTTCTACCTGTTCGTGAAGTTTCGTTACTATTAGTTAAGCTATTTTGGAGATTAGCCCGGCCAGGTAGATATGCAGGCAGGCAGGCAGACAAGTAATTATTTAAAATGGTTAATATCATGCAGATAACCCCCTGAGCGTTATAGAAGTCAGTTAATATCATGCAGATAATCCCCTGGGCGTTATAGAAGTCAGTTAATATCATGCAGATAACCCCCTGAGCTGAGCTGAGCTGAGTTGACTGTCGGTATATCGAAGTGCTGAAGTGTTTGTACAGTAGGGCTACGATGGCTATCCCAGTACAGAACCAGAGTTCGAAACCTATCCAACTGCAGAGAGGTGTAAGACAGGGTGATGTTATATCCCCGAAACTCTTCACCGCTGCATTGGAAGATGTTTTCAAGCTACTGGACTGGAAAGGAAACGGTATTAACATCAATCGCGAGTACATTACTCACCTTCGATTTGTCGACGATATAGTCCTTATGGCAGAATCGCTGGAGGACTTAAGCACTATGCTCAATGACCTCAATAGTGCCTCCCAACGGATAGGTCTTAAGATGAACATGGACAAAACAAAGATCATGTTTTATGTCCATGTCACACCTATGCCGGTAGTTGTTGGGAGCACTATGATCGAAGTTGTTGACGAGTACGTTTACCTGGGACAAATAGTCCGACTAGGTAAGTCCAACTTCGACCGAGAGGTCAATCGACGGATTCAACTCGGCTGGGCAGCGTTCGGGAAATTAAGACGTATCTTCTCGTCAGGTATACCTCAATCTCTAAAAACTAGATTGTACAACCAGTGCGTGTTGCCAGTGATGACTTACGGATCTGAGTCGTGGTCCTTCACTGCTGGCCGTATGAGGACACTCAAGGTTGCTCAGCAAGCTATGGAGAGGGCTATGCTTGGAGTTTCTCTGCGTGATAGACTCAGAAATGAGGATATCCGCAGTAAAACTAGAGTGACCGACATAGCCCAACGGATTAGTAAGCTGAAGTGGCAATGGGCCGGCCATATAGCTCGAAGAACCGATAACCGATGGGGAAGAAAGGTTCTTGAGTAGCAGCCTCGTGCCGGTAGGCGTAGTGTAGGGCGACCCCCCACTAGATGGAGTGACGACCTGGTAAGATATGCAGGAAGTCAATGGATGCAGGTGGCTCAGGACCGTGCTTTGTGGCATTACTTGGGGGAGGCCTATGTTCAGCAGTGGACTTGTGAAGGGCTGTAATGATGATGATGATGATGAACCCCCTGAGCGTTATAAAAGTCAGTTAATATCATGCAGATAACCCCCTGAGCGTTATAGAAGTCAGTTAATATCATGCAGATAACCCCCAGAGCGTTATAGAAGTCAGTTAATATCATGCAGATAACCCCCTGAGCGTTATAGAAGTCAGTTATTTTAATAGAACAGATATAACATTACCATTAACATTACTTATATCTTATACTGTTGTGCTGAAATGTTTATATCAATCCATTTTACAAAATTTTTCACATAACTACATATGTAACAATGCAAAGACAAAACTTCTGAAAAATTTGCTCTCGCTGTAGTTTTTGTAAAAGGAAATCAAAATTGGTCATCAATACCTTGTTAATTAACTTACTAAATGTTTGAAACTAAAATTAACTTGTTAAGTCTGTACCCACGGGAATGATTATTTATAAATTATTATTACATTCCTCAAAAATTCTTCTGTTTATATGGCACTATCTCCTTTAATGCCAAAATACTCCAATCAATTTTACGCGATCTTCCCACGGCTTGCCTAGAACTGTTAGATGCTATAGAGTATAGATGATTCATCTCATGTAGCATATAGCTTATCAAAAGCCTACAGATGAACAGAGGCTCCCCCTATACATTGTTTCATAGGGAGGGATATTTGCTATAGCTACGACGCCTGGCAAGCGGATTTGCAACTGCAGTTTAAAATATTTATAGTAGTATTTAGAAAGAAAGAAAGGAAGACCTTTATTCACTGTAACTGTACACATCACAAAAATAAAATAATAAACAGTTAAAAGTTAGTAGATTAAGTTGGGGTGTGTGTCGAGCCAGTGAAAAGGTTACGACTCAGTGCAATGCTGCAGGGTAACCTACATCGCTGATGATTCTGTCATAACCCCAGATACACGCACGATCCGCCTGGGTGTATTTTATGAAATACGTTTCCATAATTACTGTTATAAATTAAAATTAGAGTTGCTCATAAATATACCTATATATACAAAGTCATATATATATATATATATATATATATATATATATATATATATATATATATATATATATATATATATATAAGTACATACATCTTTATTAAGACGCTGCTGTACATTGCCTCGTTTGTTATCTTCTATTGCGACTTATGACACCTACAGGATGATATATGGTAATGTATATTCTTACACCATTACTACACGGTAAACCTGGTGTTTTATACAATAAGGTGTAAATAAATGAATAAATAAACCAAACGGGGTAGATATAAAGCAACATGGTAATGAATTATCACCTGTGAGAAAATTATTTTTGAAAGTCAAAGCATTTACTAATTATATTAAGTAATATTGGCGTCGAATTTGGAATAAATCGAATATATACGGATAGCCAAATGAAGATGCGGCAACCGGGAACCTCGGGATTGTGAAAATGCGTATTTTTATAATTATAATTATGTCCTCCAGACCGCATTTCCGCTATAGTGGCCTGCCTCAACGGAGGCTAGACGTCGGCGCAGGACAGGATTATAGTACCCAAGTGTATACGCAAGCACAGGTGCACTCTCAATTCCCTCACTCTCGTAATCCGATGGGACGGTAAACCGACACGACCGGGAGAGAGATCAGGCGCAGGACCAACGGCTTTACGTGCTTTCCGAGGCTCGGGGGTGAGACAACTTTCTGACTCCGGGCAGCTACTAAGAATTTCTTGACAGAAAAACTCAATAATTGATCTTTTGGCCCGACCTGGGATTCGAACCCAGGACCTGATGATCAGCAGTCGCACTACTACAACCACTAGACCAACGAGGCAGTCAGGTATTTTTATAGAGTTATTTTTTAAAGAGTAGCCAATTTTTAAACTTAAATTTAAAAATTATATATATATATATATATATATATATATATATATATATAAAAATATATATATATATATATATATATGATAATATACAGTTATTGCAGTTATTGAAAATACGAGTTAATAAGGCTTCTACTTTTATTTGACCTACCGATCGACCCTTACGAATGCATTATTTTAACTGATTTTATCGCGCACGCGGTAAAATCAGTTAAAATAATGCATTACCACGCATTTTGAATTTAAAAGATAAAAAGGACAGACTTTTTGAGTTTTTTCTTGAATAATTATTCTTCACCGTTTGCCTATATTACTTATTCTGAACCTTCTCTGCAAATTTGGCCGGTTATTGCAAAATAATCCTGTATATACAGAATGGGTCCCACATATATGCAATAAATGAAACCACAAATAATACTAGTCCGTAGAAGTGTAGAAAAATTAAATATTAAATTAAAACCCGTAAAATAAATAAGTGAAATTTTCAAACAAAATAAATATTAAAATAAATTCAGCAAAAGTGAACACTCTGTTTAGACAACGTACCTTGACCCCTTGGAAGAGTGACAACGTTGCACGCGGGTGGACACGCCGACAAAAGACACCGCTGTCGATATGTCGCAATACCAATAGTTTGCACTGCGTGGCAACGTCGCTTTTCAATGTTCAAGGATTCAAGTTCATTGAATCATTGACTTAGTAACCAATTCTATAGAGTGTTCAAATTTGCTTAAAATTAAAACTCTACTTTTTGACCTAATTACTGGACCGATTACGTTCATTTTTTGTATATCGTCAGCAAAGGCGATAACAAGTATATGGTTTCATTTATTGCATATATGTGGGACCCATTCTGTATACAGTTGTATAGCGGGAAAATACCGAAATATTTTATTGACAGTTCTAAAAAGGCTCTGTTTATTCAGGACAACTAAAGCACCAGGTGTTTTGTATCGTATTAGTTTACCTTCATGAGGGGACCGCCGGAGTCCCCCCCGCATGCATCTTTATTGTGCTGTGCACCTGCACAAATTTCCGACTTTGCTATTTTAAATCCTCTTCCAAAAAAATTGCATAGCTCAGGCTTTACTACTGGTAACTGTAATGTATGAAATAAATTATAATAAGATACAAGGATTATATTTAACGACATCTTATACAAGAGTAAAATAAATATACGCACCGAAACAAACTGCAAGATATTAGCTCGCTCATCAGTTGACATGTTCATTTTGCCCCAGCCCGCTACTGTGACTAACTCACCCACTTGAAGATTGAATAGTTGGTCGCGTTGTGGCATACAGATTGGGGCTACGTAATCTACAAAATCAGTATTTTAAAGTGTATGAAGTAAAGTAATAGCCTTTATACGTCCTAATGCAGGCACCTAAATGCGTGGTAGAGCCATGCTGCAGCTATATTAGTAGTATAGTTGTATCACGAATGGGTCGGCTCGACCGGGGAAGTACCACTTCCTCATAGAATACCAGCGTAAAATAGCAGCTTAACGCTGCTGTGCTTCGTATAGTGAGTGTAGATAACCGGAGACCCCTTTTCCTGGAAACGAGGCATTCTATCTAAGCTAGGAATCCACTAGACGGACTTGCCCGCGGGCATGTCTGCACACATGCCCGACTTCGCTTCTACAGGTCTGTGCAAAGTTTATAGTGTATGTATGAGAATGTATAATTTTGTGAATGTCTCAGACATAAGGGCAACAGCAATCACTGCAGACGGCTTTTTATTATTATTTATATTATACTTTTTTTGGCTTTTTCTAAATGCAAATTCTTGACTTTGCGTTGCTGGCGAGACAGAGCTGAAATTTTATATTATTCTATGTCAGGGGTACATATCAACAACAAGGCGGTTCTTAAAACCTTGCAAACTCTAGACGTGAACAAAGCTAGTGGACCTGATAGTATACCAGCTATAGTTCTAAAGGTACTGAGGTGTGCACCTGAGTTATCTCCTGTTTTGAAGCCCTTTAAATCGTTTGGAAGGTAGCCAATGTGCAGGTTGTGCCTAAAAAGGGCAGCTGTGCCGGCCCTGCCAACAATAGGCCAATTTCAATAACGTCCATACTCTGCAACATTATGAAGCGTATGTTGAACGCCCACCTCGTGGCATACCAAACAGAAGTAGAAACTTTTTATTAAATATAGATTATATATAATATTTAGTGAGTCACTTTTTCAATTTACCACTGGTTCGGAAAAAACGCGGGACTTTAAAAAAATAACAGCTTACAATCATGTATGTTACAATTAACAACACAAAACAAATTGGAAATAACTTGGTAGCGCACCTTTCCCAGGGGTTATTATCATCCATAAATTCCTTAATATTATAATAACCCTTTTAATACAGACTTAGTTTAATAAAGTTTTTGAACTTTGTGCAAATCAAATTTTGTATATTTTTTGAATTTTGTTGTAAAAGCGTATACATCGCCCCAAGAACGAATTACTGACTCGGTGGAATCGAATAACTGGTACTTATTGGTACTAGCTTGTGTCTGTTCTTCACACAATGTTCTTTACAAATGCATTGAGAAGCCAAAGTTAATATATTAATTTCCTTAAATTTTTGTCTCAGCGACTCTAGACTCTCTACCTAGAACAGAATGATCTCTTCATTGACCGATAGTACGAGTTTCACCTAAATTGATCAACTGAGAACCTTTTAGCGTATGCCATTCACATATGGGGCGAAGCTTTCGAGTACAATGGGGAAGCACTTGCTGTTTCCCTTGATGTCTCGAAGGCCTTGGCACGCTAGCATTTTGCGCAAGCTTTCAGTGCTTATTGAGTGAACGATCTGTCCAAGTCGTCATCGGTGACTATCGCGACAAACGCCGGAGTTCTTCAGGGGTCCGTTCTCTCCAGAACTCTCTTCTTGCTGCATATTAATGATCTGCTTATTCCCGGTATCTATGGGTATGAAGACAACAGCACAGTTGTGTAAAGATACCAGCCGAATGCTCGGGCAAGTCGGAATCAAATCTAGTCCGAAAGTGGAGCTATGATTTAGCGTGCGAAATTCTCACCGCAAGCAGTCTCCGAATGAGGCGATGCCAATCTCGTGGGATTTAACGCTTCCAAAATACAAAAGTGTCTTTTCACCGCTAAAAGGAGCCTACTCCAATCTTGCTCCAACTCTCCGTAATGTATATTTAGTGTACATTGACCGCCTTCATTGGTTAGGGCTTGAATTTTCCCCGAATCTCAACTATAGACGGTTCATCACAGGGACAAAACAACCGCAAGGAAACTAGGCAAGGATGCGGCGGTACTTCACGCCGAGCTTTTTACCTTATATAAAGCTCAAGTCCGGTCGTGCGTTGAGTATTACTGCTGTCTTATATAGGCTGGTGCTGCAAACTGCCACCACAGCGTTGGAATAAGTGAAATGACGTGCTAAGAGGCTCATTGGTAATCTTGATTTGGTTAAAACCAATCTTGTCAGCCTTGAGGACAGACGCAGAGTAGCCAGCCTGCGTTCTATAGAATACCGAGATTCTATAGGCCGTATTTCGGTGAGTGTGCGCAGGTATTACACGCTTTAATTCCTCCCTCTCCTATTGGACAACCAGGCGATCGGTGGGTCTTCACCCCTTTGTACTCGACATTCCACGAATTAGAACCAAACGATTTGCTTTGTCTTTTGTGACGCGTACAGTAAAGGAGTGGTACAATTTGCCTGCGTCTATCTTACCATCCGAATATAATTTGGACGTCTTCAAAGCAAGTGAATAAGCTTTTATTACGCTAAGAAAGTACGAGATACCATCTAGAGCTTCATTACCACTTACCACCAGGTGGGATTGTGACTAAGCACTGCCTTATACTTAAACACGTAAGATATGTTGCTCTCTGGAAGAAAAAGTGACACGAAGCGACTAACAAAAGAATAATATTAAACTGGCGTGGCTCATCTTAAATATCATTTTTATTCTTTTATTTTATACATCATATTTAAAATATTTGAAACTTAGCAGGCAAGCAGCGACCGCCAAGAGGTCGTAACCATACAATTTTCATTTTACCACATCGATTAATTCTTACCATTCAACTGAAGTGGTGTATCAAGCTTTATGACGGCTATGTCATTGTGAAATAGTGGTTTGTTAAAGTTGGGATGGCTGAAGATATTTTTAATTCTTCTATCTTGATAAGGCGGCGCACACACCTCAAGCTGGCAGTCCGGGTTCGAGCGCGTATCGTACTCGCCCGCGCGGACAGCAACTCTAAAAAAAAATATTAAAAGTATTATAGTGTAAATACGAACTTTTAGAGTTCGTATTTACACTATAATATTTCTCATCAGAATTCTCAGTAGCAGCCCAGAGTGGGGAAGTTGGCGTTTTCACTCCCGTGCCTCGGAAAGCACGTAAAACCCTTGGTCCTGCGCCTGATCTCTCTCCGGTCGTATCGAATTACCGTCCCATCGGACTATGTGAATGAGGGAATAGAGAATGAACCTGTGCTAGCGCATACACTGGGGCACTAGAATCCTCTCCTACGCGGATTTTTAGTCTCAAATGAGACTGGCCGTGACCGAAATTCGGTATGGAGGACGTTATAAAAATACAGAAAAGAAATATGAAAGGATCAAATTGTTGAAATAACTGCCTTTTTCATAAATTCCAAAACACTAGCATCGTGTTTTTTTTAATGAAATGGGGATGTTCAACGAGCACACAGCTGACCTGGTGGTGAGTGGGAGCTTTTGTCCGTAGACTTCTACATCTATTCTGGATTCAGAATCAAAATGCAGAAGATCGTTTCCAGTAAAAAGGTCTCTATTCTACACTCATACGAAGCAACAACATTAGGCTGCTATTTCACGCTGGTATTCTTTCCTCAGTCGAGTCAACTCATTCGTGCTATGACCACAATATAGCTGCAGCGTGGCTCTACCACGTATGTAGTAGGAAATATTTTGCTGCTATGTCGTAGTGTGAATAATAAAATACAAAAATTGCATATTTTTTTACGACATTTTCCTTTAGTAAATTTTGTTCTTAAGAGGATAGAGTAAGTCAGCTCAAATTCTAATTTCGCTCCCACTTCCCCGCGCGTCGTATGCTATGTACCGATATGTTTGTAATCACTAATACTGTAAGTAGAAAGGTCGTCAGATACTTATTTCATTAGGTTTTCATATTTATGCCTGTTTTTTAACGCCAAGCCAGCCGCTTCTTATTTTTATCACGGTTATTTCCCATTTTAATTTTACGTCGTACTGTTGCGTAATGTATATTCTGATCGTAAGCGACACAACTTCTCCCTTCAAAAGCCTAAGCGATACTAACGGGGCGACTGGAATCAAGCTCAAGACGCCGATAGTTTAGGTAATTTCTTTTTACAGTGAAAATAATGGTATTTTAAAAAAAGTAAATAACATAAGCACTGCTTTATAGTTAGTTCAGTTAGTATGCAAAGTTTCATGATCTTATTTAAAGTATTTTATGAATAACAGCGGTTTATTGTTTATTTTGGAGGTAACTTTGGATTTTTTTTTTCTATGGAGAAAATTTTACGAAATCGTCTTTTCCTCTAACATAATCATTAACATTAATCCTCAACTTTACCATATATTTATTTCAAAATTAATGCTGCAATATTTTCGGCATAACGAAGGATCTTGCTAAGCCATTTGACATTATATTTCCCCTTAAGTACATATATTTCTCTAAACATATAGTAATTTCTCACAGTTGGTATCCATCTTCAGCCGTTTGTATACAGTGCGCCGCGGTGACCACGTGCTGATCAGTTACGAGCACTCCTCCGCACATCCAGTCCAGTTCTTCCTCATCTGGTACTATAAAGTGTAAGAATTCATTTTATTAAGTAGTTTAATTTATTTTTTGATATTTTTTTATCTTTCCCTTATTCTGCCAGTTGGAATGAACCAACGTTTTAAATATTTGAAAGAAAGAAAGATTTTTACATACTCGAGTCATGTAAATTCGTCAGGAAACATCAAAAACTTTGCTCACCAATAACAAAAACTAAAAGAAGTAACAGTAATTTAAATTAGTTATGGATGTCCTTTTACACGTTAACATTAGTTTGGTCTGTTACGTTATGTAAAAAAATATAAGTATATCTACCGATTTATACACTTAAAATTTTAAGTAAACCTTGCGTAATTTAATAAACTATTGAAAACATACCTTATTTATTAATATATATATATATATATATATATATATATATATATATATATATATATATATATATATTAAAGTATAAAAAAAATTTACGCGATAAAATCCGCAAAAGTAGTTTTAATCAATGTGTAGTGTTCGCGTAAATATTAGAAATCATTATATTAAAGTATACTTTAAACGAATTTTTGACGATGAATAATAATAAATAACAAAGAAAAAGTATTTCGGCTACATTATATTTCTAATTATTTTAACTTATAAAAATAACACTAAAAGTTTATGATAGGACTTTTTATAAATTAAATTTAAAAGCTATTTAAAAATAGCCCTTTAGTATTGCTATGCCCTTGCAGGGTGACTTGTTTAACCTATCAATAATAAAACATCTTTTTGTAATTTGAAATGTAATAAACAATTTGATTTGAAACAAAAGCCTCATGCATATTATGGTAGTAGGTTAAATAGATATTAGGTTCTATAAAAAAATTCATCACCGACCTCTCGAGTGCTTTGTAGCATCCATGGGGTTTCCCCCATGGTTTGACTAACTGAACTGGCTTCAAAAAACATATCGTTGATATCATTAACGTTAAACACCACCGACATTTTTGAATACTTACAAATTACCGGAGCCGCATATATAGGTATAGGATAGGTATGTATATATTACATATATATTATAAAAAATTACATATTACAAAAATATTATAATTATATTACTAACTGGCATATCCAAGGCGTAAGATCCAGGGAAATTGACCAAGTGCAGCATTCATGCCTCCAATTATTCGATCAGCAGCACTAAACCCACATTCATATGATTCAAGTTTTAGCCATGCTGGATGTTTCACGATCTGACGCCATATATCATCTGCATTACAAAAGTAATTAAGGCACAATATATGATAAGCGTAATCTGTTCGATAAAATTCAATTTTAATTAATTGATTTTTTTATTGATTTATTATTTGATTTAAGAGCTTCTTAGCGTGGATTCGATCAAAGCTCGGTTTATACACGACTGACTACTAACACTGATAAGCTATTCCACGATTAAATTCTTGAGTATATCCGTGTATCGTTTTTTCATGCAATGTAAGAGTGGATTCGACCAAACACTGTGTTATACCCGAGTAACTAACCTCCGAATATTTTTACTCTTTGGTATTACCATAGGTTTTATTATGGTATTACTCTCAGATAACTTTGTTTGTGTTTTTCCATCACACACATAAAGTTGCCCATACTGGGTATTGTTACTCGAGAGAGAGAGAGAGAGAGAAAGAGAGAGAGAGAGAACGAATGAATAATAAATGAACATGTTAAAGTTAAAAGTTATATCTATTTTCGGGATGTTTTCGCTGTTAGTCTATGCGACTCTTACAGCTTCATCTAACTCAGGGCCGGGAGCTAATTTAAAAAGGGAAAGGCAATGGCATGAGAATGATGATGAAATGGTTTATGGTTTGGTATTGTTACCAATCATCATGTCGCCTTTTTAGGCATTATTGAGACATCTAACCGCTGCCCGAGGGGGGGAGTGTGGACCCCCGCCTCTGACTGCTCAGCTCGTGTCGGTCGATGGTCTGGGCGGTGAGAACCGCCCAGGTACGCGTGTGTACGGTGTGTGCTGGAACGCGTCGTGCCCGTCTACGGGTGCGTCGCGCCCCATTCGTAATCCTTTTAAAAGTTAAAGTTACAGCTTATATACGTCCCACTGTGGGGCACAGGCCTCTTCTCAATTCTGAGAGGATTTCAGGGCAAGGAAATGTCCGCCGCGATGTCTCAATGTGTGCTTGTGAACTTTTTTCTTATTTCTCGGACATGCGGGTTTCGTCACAATGTTTTCCTTCACCGCCGATGATGGTAAATCAGCACTTAAAATTGCAATTAACAATTTCATTGATGCCTGCAGATCGAACTATGTACTCTCTAATGACCAGTAATTGCTAGATTAAGATTTGGTAAAACCAAAACCAAAAATTTAGAGTAATTATAGTCAACCAAAACTAAGAAATACGTTTTGATAGCTGTCAGACTTTTTGCACCAAGCAAGCCAACCAAAAAATGGAAACGTACAATATTCGATTCTTAAAAAAATCGATATCGATTATTTAGAGTAATGGTAATCATTTACAGTTTGGTTTGAATAATACCAGAATAAATTAAAAACGGCTAATTCAAAACACAAGGTGTATCAGTTTCTTCGTATTTGTTGTTACTACTTATTTCTAGAGACACAGTTATAAAAATTTAAGATTGAAACTAGAGTAAAAATAAATTTATTCAATCACTTTCAGGACAACTAGTAGAAATGTCATTGCTCATATTAATTATTATTCGATTTTCAAAAATGCAGTCAAAATTAATATCTCTTTCAAAGTCATCCATAATCACTTTTTTATTTTTTTCTACCGCCTTTGCCCAATCATATTTTGCCCATGGGTACATACTTCAACGAAATTTTTTTTATAGCATTTGTTGACAAACGAGCACACAGTCCACCCGATGGTAAGTGGATTCTATGGCCCATAGACATACATACTTATTCTCAATTAAGCTTCAAAATGCAAACGCGTTGTCACCCCTGAGGACTAAGATGGAACGCCTCGATTCCAGTAAAAAGGGTCTCCGATTCTCTACACTCACCATACGAAACACAGCTGCATTACTCTGCTATTTTACGCTGGTATTCTGTGAGAGCATGGTCCTGCCCCGGTTGAGATAACTCTTTCGTGCTATAACTATAATATCGATGTAGCGTGGCTCTACCACGTACAAAAAGTTATTATAGAAAAAACAATCCAAAAAGTTAAAGCCGAGTCACAAAATCACAAAATTACGCACAGTAAGCTCTCGTAACAGAAACAGAAACTTGTTTATTCAATATAGATTGTGAATAATACTTATTGAAAGTACAATTTTTTCATTTACCACTGGTTCGCAAAAAAAACCTCTGTCCTGGGAGGAACCAGCAAGAAACCCAACGGGACTAGTTTTTTTTTTCAAACAAGAGCTTAGAATCACGCGTGTTACAGTTAACAACACAAAACAAATTAGAAATATACGTGGTATGCCTCATTTACATTCAGCCCCTGCCACTGCTCCTCGCGCTGCCGGCAATACTTCGCTAAATACTGCCGTAGCAGGATCGAGGGGAAGTGTGTATTCACACTCTGCCCTGCCACTCACATCGCTTTCGGCTTTCGGCTTTCGACTATGGCAGACGTCGTCGAAATAATTACAGCGTCCGCGCTGTGTCTTCTTGCAATACAAAATTATGTTAATAATTTAAAAAGATATCAAGTTCAAAAGAAGATAGATAGATAGATAGATTTTATTTGATAGATAGAATTTATTTGCTTAAAAACATGGTACATAAGATCATCAATGACGTGGAACTGACATGTTTTGCCATAATTGGCATGCAAAAATGATATGAAATGCAGCTAATTACACAAACCCAATGTTACATTTTAAAATTATTGCATTGCTTAAAAGTTAGTTACAAACATTCTTTTTGAATTCAAATATTATGTAAAATTAAATACATATACAGATCCACTCTATTTGAATTCATATACAGTAAATTGTTCATAAATTATTAATTTAATTATTACATTATTGTTACATAAATAATATTATATATTATATGAGATTAGTATAAGAGTAAGCTATTATTATTTTTATAATTACACTACAGTATAAATTAATTCATAATTTTAATTACAATAAAATTATAATTTAAAAATCTCAGGCTATTATGCAAATATTACCATTTAACTTATTTTACATTTTAATAAATAAATAATCAATTGAGTTACTAATCGTTTTTAGAAATAAAATGTCAATGTTCATTAATTCCTTAAACTAAATTTTATATTAATATAATAAATTTGACGAATTTATAATTAATGATGTACATAGGTATTAGGTACTATGTTATCTCAAAAAGAAAATTGGTATTCGGAGAAGATGATGAATTGTGGTTCTTATCGTTGAAATCCCATATAGATTTTTCTGATTCCAGCAGTTCTAAAAACTTTATTGTATTTTCATTATTCCACTCGAAAGGCATTTTGGTAGATCGTACTTATTTAATAACAAGACGGCACACACGTACTTTCATCCAGGCGCTTGGCGCGAAGTGAGTTTCAGTATATTAGAAAGTACTCTGTGGAAGTGAGCGATGGAGCTGAATGTGAACACTCACTGCCGCTCGCGCTGCCCGTCCTTTGACTTCCGCACAAAAAACCGACATTTGAGAGATCGTCGGGCAGTGACAGCGGTAGCGGCAGTGTAAGCGCGAGTTGCCTGTTTACATAATGCCCTGCCCACTGCCCTGCTCACTTCCCTGCCCAACAGGGTTGAATGTAAATGGGGCAATAGAGCCATGCTGCAGTTATATTAGATGTAAAGTTGTAGCACGAATGGGTCGGCTCGACCGGGGAAGGACCACGCTCTCACAGAATACCAGCATGAAATAGTAGCTTAATGCTGCTGTACGAGTATTTCGTATGGTGAGTGTAGAGAATCGGAGACCCTTTTTACTGGAAACGTGGCATTCCATCTTAGTCCTCACGGGTGACAACTCATCTGCATTTTGATTTGTAATCGAGGATAGATGTAGATGTTTATAGGCCACAGCAACCACTTACCATCAGTTGGACTGTGTGCTCGTTTGTCACCCTATTCTAAAAAATAGCTTAGTAGCGATCACCCACCCCAGGGGTTATTATCATCCATAAATTCCTAAATATTAAAATAACCCTTTTTATACAAACTTAGTTTAATAAAGTTTTTGAACTTTTTGTACTTACGTCAAATTTGGTATAATTTCTGAGATTTTGTTGTAAAGGTGTATACATCGCCCCAAGAACGAATTACTGACTTGGTGGAGTCGAGTTACTGTTTTGTTAACTGTCGAGTAAAATTTCGGGATATTGAAATTATGTAGTGGTTATTTTAGCACATATGAGTTTTTTTGCCTACACAAACTTACTTTGACAAAGTAAAAACAATAAAATTGTTTTATTCATGTAATTTAAGATATTTCGAAAATAAAATTTAAATTAACAAATAATACATTAAAAAAATTAATGATTCGATTATTTGAATTTTCTACCGATTATTTTAATATTTTGCCGATTATTCGCATAAAAATGAATTTTAATCATCCAAACACTACGATAATGTACATAGCGACATATCATTGAAACGACGTAAAGTAAAAAAAGTTGATACTGGTTATTTTTTAATATTTTGCTTTGTTTGAAAGATTCAAATTTAAATTAGTGATAAAAACTATACACGTTGTAATCAAATATAGATAACTTCATAATTCTTCGGATTTACGTAAGAGGTTATTTTAAATCGTGTGAGTACGCTCGTGCAAAGTTATTGCGGAATGATTTATGTGAAACGTCAAAAGGTGTTTCTTAGATTTGGTTGACTATAGTGATTTAATTCGCAGGATAAGACTTAATACAAGTTTGGTGCAGTCCGCCTTAAGTGAAGCAGTAATTGATTACGAATTATTACAATAGCTTACCCGATAAAGAACGACTCACGAGACTCATTATAATAAAGGTGCATTTCCATTGAATCATGTCCTTTTATTTGAGTATTCTTAACAGTCACAGTGAAGAAGTTCTCGACATACGAGACTTCTCGCGACTCAATCAAGGCTCATGACTGCCAGCGTTTGCTCTCTTGGCTTATTGTAAAGCGACTGGGTTGGACGAAGCGATGAAAAAGCGATTGGTTACGCACAGCGCCTCGCACCATTAACAGAACTCATTGCAATGTTTTGATATCAAATTGAATATTGTTAAGAAATATTCACTCGGGTTTGATTAGTACATTCATAATTTTTTCACTCTTTCGTTATACAATAGTGTACAAAACCCATATCATATATCTTAAATAAGAATCTCGATAATGAATTTGATTCTAGAAGATCAAAAATGGACTTGATGAAGACTTACACCTGTATAAATATAACGGGTTTAATCACTATAATTATAACTTTTAACAAAATCTAAAAATCGACTTCAAGTTGCTAAAAAATAAGTTATTTATTTGCAACCTTTTGGGGTAGAATTTTTTCTGCAAATTAATATGGGACAACCCTTAAGGTATAAACTATTTAAAAAAAAGAATCATTAAAACCGGTTCTTTATTTGCGAAGATATCATGTGAAATTCCTTAATCAATGGTTCAATATGAAACTTCTTCCATATTTTCCGACCCTTGGGGACGGATTTTATATTCAAAATTTAATGGGATTCACCCTTGAGGTAAAGCCTATTTAATAAAAAAATAATTATTAAATTCGGTTCACAATCTGCGAAGATATCGCCCAACATACATACCTACAAAAATAAAGAACATACTCTCGAATTCAGAACTTCCTCCTTTTTGAAATCGGTTAAAAATACAACTTCTACTGACTGTTTTCCTAGTGTCGAGACAGCCAGATTAGTTTATTTCAGTTATTCATGGGAATAACTGAAATAAACTAATCTGGCTGTCTAGCATAGCATAATGTCTTATGGGAATTTGCGATTGGGAAATGCGGCTGACTAAGACACTATTTTTGTTTAATTATTACTGACAATTTAATATACGTTCTCAAAAAATTGAATAAAAAAGTGCTAAATACTCTAAAAAACGAGGAACAATTACAATCTTATGATAACAGTTTCTCTAATTAATCAATAAAAAAGTATTATAGATTAATAAAACAAATTATTCTTAAGACGCCATCTCGTGTCATGGTATATAGATTATGAAATTAATATGTTCAGATGCAACATTTCTGTGGGTACTTAAGTATAGGACGAATATATTATTATACACATTTTTTTTGTAGAAACATGTATAAGTTATTATAATAAGGCTAAATTTTTCATGTTTAAATCTGCTTATTATTCTTTTATTTTATTTTTAGGTTTCCACTTCAAAGTCAAAGTTCGTCCATTTTTAACTCTCACGTGCCCAGCATTTATGAACGACTCTTATTCTAATTTAAATAAATATATTTGTAATTTAAATGTTATGTTAATAAGTTTTGTTATCATACATTTAGTACGTTCTTTTATATTTGAAATAGATACCATTTAAAATACTCCGATAAAAATATCATTAAAATGTAATATAATATTATGTATATATTATGTAATATTATATTAAATAAGCAAATGCAATATAAAAAATAAATGACAAAATTTAAATATTGTTCTCGATATAATTTACCTATTTAACAATACAATCTACTATTACCTACGGATAATTCTACCTATGTTTATTCTATGATTAAAAAAACAACCGCGCGAACACAGAGTAGCGCACATTTTTTGTTTGAGATAGCTGTTCTAGTACGTAAGTACATATTACTTCAATGATTATTTACTAGCATTTCTAGATCAGTACAAGTTTTGTTATGTGATGTATAGTTTATTTATTTTATCTGTTTTTACATTTTTGAGTATTCTGAATAATATTATAATATTACGAATAATACTTACCTCAGTATTTGAAGATAAAAATGCTAATAAAAGTGAAACGACTACTTGGAGGTTTTCTCAAATGAAATTACCATGACGATCTTTTAAGCTTAGTGCTTTATCCCAATGAATTTAATTGAATTTTGAAACGAATATTTGCTTGGTCATGTTTTGTTGTTATCGGTCAAACAAATGTTTTGCTGCTGTCGTTTAGTAATGCAATATGAAAAACAATCTCGTCCTCAACGATAATAGCGTAATTAATATGGTGAACTCCTTTTAAATTATTACTGTAAAAATAGAGTCCTTAGTAATATTAATAGTTATATTTATGTTTTCATAATATGTGAGTCATATATAAACACATCAACGGAATCTAGGCACACCTTAATTCTAAATTATTTACGACTTTATAGTTTAAAATCTTTTTAGTTTCCATAAAATGTTTATATACAGGTAGAAACTTCTTTTATTCTATTTTCAAAATTTAAAATGTAAATAAAAAAAAACAAATACGGTGGCAAAATTGTGAGTATTACGTCACCACAAGGAAAATTAAAATTGTTCTACTGATATTAATTAAGTACCAATGAAAAAGGATTAGATTGTATTTCTTTTTTAATTTAACGTGCCGTTGAGCTTTAAAGAGCAATGTCACGTCGGCATTTGAGTCGAGATGTAATTGACGAGACGTGGGCATGTTAGAAAATGGTGTTATTCAACGCGTCGTTGCTGAGGACCTACATATTAGCCAAAACGTGATATCAAGGTTGTGGTCTCGTTATCGAAGTACTGGTTATGTGGCTGAACGGCATACGGGTAAATATCGTGTTACTACGCAGAGACAGGATCGATTTCTCCAAAAGACCGCCAGGAGACAACCCCATATCACAGCGGTGCAACTACTACAAAGGCTCCAGGAGGACCATCAGCTGCTGGCAAGCGATCAAACCGTGCGAAGGAGGTTGCATGAAGTTGGTATTCATGCTCAAAGACCGCTAAGTGTTGCAGCATTGCGACGTGGCAATCGCGGTCGCCAGCTTTCGTGGGCCCTGGAGTATTTACCGTGGAGTGGTCAACAATGGTCTTTGGTGCTGTTCACCGATGAGTCCCAGTTTTGGTTTCATCAGGATTCACGAAGAACATGCGTTTGTAGAACTCCAGGAAGAGTTAGCCATCTACCGCACCCTCAGAGGGTCCACTTATACCAAGGCGGGACAAGCATGGTGTGGGCAGGAATTCGTCTTCGCAGACGAACCCAACTCGTTTGGATCCAAGACAGCATGACTACAAAAAAATACCACGAGGAGGTAGTAGAGCCTGTTATTGTCACACACACACAATCCAAATGGGCCAGCCAGCTCTTTTCCATAACGCGCAGCTAGTGTCTGCCGATCTCCTAGATCACGATATTCAAGTTTTGGGTTTGCCTGCACAGTCGCCTGACTTAAATCCTATCGAGCATGCCTGGGACATGTTACAACGAAAAGCTTTGAGAGATTTCCCGCCAAATTTGACGACGGACCAACAACTTAACGAACACTTGCAAATAACATAATACCTAACTTCAACTTCTAAATAACTTCATACCACAGGAAGACATTGATAATTTAATTTTAAGTATGAACAATCGATGTCGATGTATAATTAATGTAAGAGGTGGCAGCACGTATTATTAATAATTAGTTTTTATAATATTTTTTCAATTTTAATTAAAATGATAGTTTTATATGAAGATTTTTTTATCATACTCATTTTCTATGGCGCTTAAAAATTAACATTTTTTTATATTTTATTAAAGATCTTAAAATAACTTATCATTCTTCCATTTACTATATTAGAAAAATCTTCGTAGATTTTTAGATATTTGATAAAATATAAAACATCCCTAGATTCTATTAATGTGTAAAGTATCTTGCCTTGTAACAGCGCAGCGGCGTAAAATAATCCATTAATTTATTTCGTCCCGTAAAGAGCGGTCATGGTAAACGAATTTTATTGAAGCCAACAGAAAAAAAGAAGTATTAGTATTATATTCAATTCTCCTTCTTATCTTAAGAAAAACTTTTAGTATCTGTATGCTACTTACAATAGAGATCTCCGTTCCCAAAATAATCTCAAAATTCGTATTCCACCACATAAGAGCGGTTTCTGTAATTCCTCCTTTATTATGCAGCCAATACTGCTCTGGTATGCTCTGCCTAATGATATTTTTTTTATAGAATAGGGTGACAAACGAGCACACAGTCCACCTGATGGTAAGTGGTTGCTGCGGCCCATAGACATCTACATCTATCCTCCATTAAAAATCAAAATGCAGATGCGTTGTCACCCGTGAGGACTGAGATGGAATGCCTCGTTTCCAGTAAAAAGGGTCTCCGGTTCTCTACACTCACCATACGAAATACAGCAGCATAAAGCTACTATTTCACGCTGGTATTCTGTGAGAGCGTGGTCCTTCCCCGGTCGAGCCGACCCATTCGTGCTACAACTATACTACTAATATAACTCCAGCATGGCTCTACCATATCAAGAACATCAGTAACAAGAAATCTTTAAAAGATCATTTCGAGAATTCTATGATAAGAATAATAGGGTCGATGCGCTGGTTTTCGGCCTTTTAGTGGAGTTGTCAACTTTAAGGTACAATAAAAAATAATAGCCATTATGTTGACCTAGTGCTGTTAATGTTAATTTGTAGCTTAAATAATGTAGTTTTCATTTTTATAACTCATTGATGCAACAAAAGAAATCTATTTTTTATAATAATTTTTGATGTGAAAAATAGGCGAAACGCTAGTTTTCGGCCCCAAATTTTAGATTTCGGCCCACAAGAATTTTAGTTTTCTTCCACTGTATTAGAAGAGATAGTACGAACTTAAAAGTATTTTTGTAAAATCAGAAAATGGCAATACGTTTTGGGAAATAGGTGTATTTAATTTTTTTCAATCGATGCTTGCTTTATTTTAACCGTGAAGTTATTTTTTTTCATTTTGGAGTGGTTTTGATATAAAATAATAACCATGATTAATCATTTTTCTTTGAATCATAATCTAATAACAAAATCTTTGAAATATAGCAATTATATCTTCTCATTTACG